TTAATGAGCTCCATTCTGTCACAATAAAATCCCTTTTGAACAGGAGAAAGAATGTCTGCAGTTCAAAGTGCCAGCTGTGGCGAGCTCAGTTGCCTGAAAATGTTGACCATGGAAGAGAAGAGAGGGGGATCCATCAAAGTCTGAGACAGGCCAGATATTTAGGGATTCTTTTTCACACATAAAAAGCATAAAACTTGGCACCACCACTTTTACAAACACTGATCAATGTCATTTATCATTTCCTAAAAAGCTGCAGCATATGTTTAATAATATGAGTCAACTGCACAGAAATTACTTGGTATATTACAATAACATAGTGAATTCCTTTATTTTGGATGCATGTCAATGTGATTTCAAATGTTGCTTATTTGGTTTATGCAGGTGATAAAATCCATGTTGTACATATTTAAATGTATACGTTGACATACTTTTTATTTAGCCTAATAAAAATATTATTTTATTAAATTTAGTTGTGGTACACTTTTTACACTCCTTTGATTTACCTTTTCAAATCCAGCATATAATAATTTGGATTAAAATTATTTGAACTACAATGACGGTCATTATAATCTAATTCCTGCACATTACTGGTGTTAAAATATTCAGTGCTTCTGACCATGAGGCATGGAGAGATTGGAAAGGTGGAGGAGAGAGGTGGTGCTATTGATCACTGCTGGCACTTTATCATTTACAGATTTAATGATCATTACAGGTGAATCAATAACTAGCTGCTCCGTTCAGCTCTTGATGTGGGTGCTGTCAATCAAAATTTCTATTTGAACAGATTTTTTTCTAATATTTAATTTATGCTTTATAAATATATAATACTTAGGAGTCTTTTAGCTCCCTATGATTGTAACAAAGTCAAATTAGAATTACCACCCCGCAGCTGTCTGCCTCCACCAACCAGTGAAGCAGCTGTTTACATCTAATGTCTGTCCAGACTAATATATATGTTGAAGACTTTGAAGGAATTTAATAAAAAAGGTATTAACTGTATGTTTTGGTGTAATAAAAATTATCAATATTTTGATGATATATATATGAATCCAGTGAATATACATTTTTTAAATGATCAAGAAAAATGAGTACACATGTACTTGATTACTATGTCAAGATAGAATATAGCTTTACAAAATGTGGTGGTTTTGTTTTCTCCTGGCATTTTTAGATGTAAACCCCTCTGAGAGCTGTAGGTAAAACTCACTCACGCTCAACATTCAGAATGAGGCAAGAAGGGAAAGGCAGAATTTATGAGATGGAAAGATGAACGCCGATACTGAAATCTAGAATCACTCAAACGTGATTTGTGAGGACACAGTGACCTTTGACTTTTGACCAACAAATTCTAATCAGTTCATCCTTGATTCAAGGTAGACGTTTGTGCCAATTAGCCCACAGCGTTCTTGAGATATCGCATTCACAAGAATCGGATGGATGGACAACACAAAAACACAATAGTTATTGCCACAGCTCAAGCCGGTACGGAAATAACCCATTCAACCATATCACCACAGAAAATTCTTCCTGACCAGGCAGATACTGGCCAAATCAGCAACATGAGGTCCCATCACAAGCCAAAAACAACCCTGACCTAAATAAGTTTTCACTGTTGACACTAGCCATAGAGATGCTACTGTGCTCAAGACTGAGGTGGAATTTTACAAAGTGGTTTCTTAGTTGTGGAGTCAGCGTTACTCAAGACAAAAAGAGGGAGCGATGATGCAACAGAGACTAAAATGACAATAAGGGAAAAATTGCAGAATCAGACTTTTCAAACTAAAAGTGTAATGCTGAGCATGACTTGAAACCAGTAAAACCAATGTGCTCAGTTGGGAGAGTCAAAGCACTTAGAAAAGATGGAAGAGAAAGCTCTTAGTCAAGTGGTCACTGATGGATTGAAGGCTTACCTATGGCAATCATCAGGTCCAAAGGTGAAATGAAAGCCTTGAACTCTGAAAAGCAGCTGATGGAGACTTCCAGTGATTCCACATTTTAGGCATTTTCCAATGTTCCTATCCAGGGCACCAGGCAATGAGTGGGCAGCTAAGTGTTCCATTTATGGCTCTGGTGCACTGACAGGATTCAGGTCCACTATGTGGATTAAACCTGCAACCATTTTGCTAGTAGATGGACAGTGTAACCTCTTAGCAACAATGGCAATTTGAGAGACAGTGACATTTATAAAATAAAAGATACCGTGTTGTGATTAAATGTCAAGTCCCCACTGTACGCTCTGCTGAGAGGCTCTCACAGTATTCTCATTAAACTGCAGGTACTTTCTGCAGCATCACTATGTACTACCATGATCAATGACTACATGCATTACAGCTAGCTCACATTACACAGTACACATGTTCGGCTTACAAACAAGTGAACTACCAGAGCTCCTTCCAAAGACCACTACCTTCCTCCCAACTGAGCTGGGAAAACTGGGTAAAGATGAGAAAATAAGAATCAGCCTTACTAGAACAACTACCTTCATTGTAATTCTGACCAAGACATTAAACCACATAGCCAGTAGAAAACTTTTATTATACAGTTAAAGTGTGGGCATGTGCTGAAGAAGACTGAGAAGTCTACGTTTTTAGACATGCTAGAAGGTCTACAGGTGACATTGATGGCCTGTCAGTTAGTTTGTCCACCACTTTGGTCCAGACTGAAATATCTCAACAACTATTAAATGGATGGCCAGAAATTTCAACATTCAAGGCCCCAGAGGATGAATCCTAATGACTTGATGATCTCCTGCAGACATTTAGCTCAAAGCACCGCTGTGCCACAGGAAAGCCTCACAGTGCCACTAAAGGGGCTGTAGCCTTGTTAATGGATAAATACGTGTTTAAAAAAGGTTTAACACTGAACAAAGAGCACACAATCAGCTATGCATAGATCAACACCTGTCAGCTATCGGGCCACAGTTGCAGCCCACATTTTCAAAGACTGACTGAGGCCATGCAAGATGTATGAGGCTGTGTTGGTGTGTGGGTGTTATGAGTGTGTCCTCCTACCATCAAAGGCTTTTGGTGGGCGCCGCAAGGCTCCACCATTAGCACAAAGAGGCAGGAACTGGCTTCCCCTCCAATTATGACTTCCCCACCTCAAAAGAGGGTCAGGTGGTCCTTTCTCAATTAGGACGGAAAGAGGAGGAGGAAAGTGGCAGGGTGGAAAGGGATAGAGGAAGTGAGGCGAGTGCTGCCATTTGTGGAAATAAAAGGGAATTCCTGATATAGTGTTGGCTATGAATATTGAGCAGGCCTGGACCAGGAAGCCACTCTTGGGTTTGGCTGAATAGTTAGTGTAGATGAAATGCTTTCTGGTAGGAGGAACAAATACATATTTCCATTCCAAAACTAGATATCAAACATAAGAGAGAAAAAAAAAGGTAAATCATCCAAAAACAGCCTGCTCTTAAACATAGTTTCTGGCATAAAATAAAACACATTTGATTTCAACAAACACAACATAAAGAACTCAATGCTGTATATTAAAATAGTTCTTAAGCTTTATGCCATAGAACAACCTTTTTTGATGCAATGAGCACTGTGCTCGATACAAATGGTTTACAGTGCAATAAATAACAATTTCATGAGTCTCTCGTGCTGATATACAGTACTTATACATAACTTCTGTGGTAATTTAAAAAGCTACTAAACCTGAAAATACAAAATGTCTTATAAGGAAGTGTATTTTATTATTTTATTTTATTTTATATCGCAAATATCATCTGTGTATAAAAATAAGACTACCCCAAAATATTAACTTTAACTAACCTGTTTCACTAAAATAGATATTAACAGCATTTAAATGAATGCGCATGAAACTGCTTATTTTCCTAATCACCATTCTTTATCCTTTCTCTCTTTTGCTCCTTCTTTATTTTCTTTCTCCTTTTCCCATCTATATATCCCCCTACCTGCTTCTCTCCCCTTCCACCCTCACGATCCTCCTTTTCTCCATCCTCCCATCGTTTCTTTCTCCAACCAGCTTGTTTCTACCCAATCTTCTTTCAATTCCCCCTTCCATCTCCTCATGCTCGTCTCTACACTAAACCACTCAGTGAAGACGGTCGGGCTACAGCCGTTTCAAAGCTTGCCTGCAATCTAGGTGAGTACATGAATTTCAAAGACTAATTTAAGACCAAGAACAAAGGATCAGGCTCTATAATGAGGAAATTGTTCACACCGAGAGGACATGATGATGTGCATTAACTAAAGGAAAGGCTACTGGAGTTACCTAGCAAATGCCACCTGATCAGACATCTGCTGGCTCAGAGGAAAATGAAGAGATGAAAACCTGAAAATTACATATTTGCTTTGTTTGTCTCGATATTTGTTGCAAAGTATCCACTGTTGTCATCTTCCTGAAGTGCATTTAATTTTAAGGTTTGCTGTGGTTAAGGTTAGGATGGGAATCTGGGATGAATATTGGTCCCTGCCTGTAACCATGGGACCAGAAATGCATGATAATCGAGCTGGAGCATAGAACTTCAGACAGATATATTATCATTACGAAAATGACAGTAGAGTTCCTGTTTCACTTCATTCTTTGACAAAATGGCTGTGAAATTAAAGGGTGGCAAAGAAAAGAATAGATTCTCTCTCCAATAAGGGGCTGCATGGCCCAAACATTTGATCTGTTCATTAGATCATGCACACTTATGTCTGTGAGTATATTACTGTACACATTCGTTACATTTGAAAAGTAATGGTACTGTATATCAAACCATCTTGCTCAATATTGAACCATCTTGTTGAAGTGCACCTTAACAAAGCTTGCTGAGGCAGGCGTTAGCTAATCACACTGATCCCATCGAGTCCGGGGATTGAAATTGGCAGCCACACAGTCACAAGCCCACATCTCCATTCTCTTCATTACTCCTTAAAATAGATGCCAAGTGGTGGAAATATGAGGGTGACTCTGGAGAGTTCTACTGGTTATGAATGAAAGCTGGCTACATAAACACACACACACATCTCACAAAAGCAACTATACAGATATGAATGTCTACTATTTTCACCTTTATTGGGTTGGCAGCAACAACAAAACCATAGCCTTTGACAAAATTTCAAAATAAAAAAATAGATACTGTGTAATTCAACACACTCTGCCTGCTACTCAAAACATCAGCAGCCTAGTTGATTTAACACAAATGGGTGCGCCATACCTTTGTCAGAATTTGTCTGATTTTTTTGGCTGTACAGCAGATTAAAAACAGACACACACACTTTATATACAGTATACTCATATACAGTATATTGTGTAAAGGTTTAAACATAACTTAATAAATAAATACATATTACTCTGTAATTAATTAAACTCTTTTTACTAAAAGCCTCGATCAATGCACTTGAAAGTAAGACAACTTGTTTAAACAAGATAACAGTTTTGATTTTCTACCACTTCAGTTTGGTCAGTGTAATACAGACATATATAAACAATTTCATTTTAAATATTCATTCAGGGGCTCTTGGATTTTTTAAACCTTGAGCCAAGACACGCATTTCACATAACCCGCTACAAAACAGCCCACCAAAGGAATGAATATTTGTGCAACTTCTGACCAATATATGGTAACAACTGAGCTATTTTTACTTTAGGCGATTACAGAATTTTGCTTTCTCTTGTCTTATATGTTGTTGTTGTTTGTCACCACATTGTGAAGATAATACAGCACTAATTCAGATCCTATATATTTTTTCTCTACTACCCCACTGCACTATGCTCCAAAGAAGCACCAAAAACACAAGCTATCAAAATTTAAAAAATATTATTGTAAGTAGTATTTGACACGACTATGCTGTGGTTCCCTACTATTATTCTTCATATATGCCAGGTCATATGGCTATAGAAGGGAATTCACAAGACATAGACAAATCTGCTGTCTCTTCTTATCTTACAGATATAATGTAGACGTCAGGTAGAAGAACATGTACCCACTTGAAGGCAGAAGTCAAACCGACTGTGATTAATGAATGACTTGGCCCATTTTTGGTTCAAGTGGAAACCCTTCTGAACCTATCACAAAGTCATCGAAAACTAAAGCCAATGACAATGTACCTTCAAATGTGTACACGGTCACAAGGTATGTTCATGTAGCTGAAAAATGTTTTTAAAAGTGCAGCATGTCCATGTAACAATAATTGTTTCTCAACATCTTTTTTCACTTTTCCTACAAAATACATCTTTAGGCACGTATACAGAACAATCTGTAATGCATTAAAGCTGCATAAAGCAATATTTATTTTTCTAACATTGAAACAATTCCTGATTATGTTAAAGGGTGATGAATGCTGATGATCCCACAAAGAATCAACACCCCATACTGCCGCTTTACACAGCTGCTTTTACCTCACTGATGGTTATCTTAGTTGTCTGAACCAACAAAACCAAAACAATGCCCGCACATACAGTAAAAACCATGGGCAGCCACTCCCAGCACATGATTTTTTGAAGTTGACTGTAGGCTATCTGCCTTGTGTGAAAGTGCAGAGATCCAAAGTAAATGAGTGGCTGGTAAGAAAGTAGAGAATGGAGATTTCTGTTGGTGATGTTGGTTTACGAAACCGTGGCTTAAAAACAATATTGTACTTACATTCATCAGGTGGCCAGAAAGACCCTGGAGTAAAATGCTCATGTAGCTCTGTTTCTGCTGGACGTGTAAGTAGCAAATTGCTTGCCAACATGCCACTAAAATACAATAAGCTAAAGGCTTATTATATTAGAGTCTTTCTGCCCCTAGTATTCAAAAATCACTTCATGCAGCTTTAAAATGAGGAATGATTTACACAGGGTACTGTTAAGCAGCATAGAATGCAGTTACAATATCAAGGGGCAGGGTTTGTTGTGTCACTTGGTTTCTAGCATGGACATATATACACGACAAGCAAGGCCTAAACCACAGATGACACTACTACATGAGCAAATTGGGAAATCAGTATAAGTCATTGGCTATAGTACGTGGCTTTATTCATGTGAAATGAATTATGCTTTGACACTGATCCAATGATCAAGGGAATGTACAAGATTAATTAACTGGAATGACTATACTACTGTGCTGTAGCAAAGGATGAGAATTATAACCAAAGGCAGTCTGTAGGTTCCTTAATGACACACATCATCTGCACTGGGGAACAGTCTTCAGATTTTACCAAGCTGGAATGTGCACAGTAAAAGAACAAAATAACTCTAATATTTTAGCATAATGTTGCAAATTTCTGTTTCACCTATACTTTGCCCTTCACAGTACAGTCATATGTTGCTTGTGTACAAACACCATGAATGAAAAGATTCAAGGAAAATTTAACAAGCCCAGTTACCAATTTATGTTATTAATTTTTTAGGTTTTTTTCCCCCAAGCGTTACAGTGTAATTCCCAGTTAGGTTTGACCCTGTGAAAAATGCACACTAAGTACTGTGTTGATACACAAAACATTGAGAAGCGTGTAAGAAGTCGAGGCCTGTTGTTTGAGGGCAATAAACTTTTCATGTTTATCAGCAACAGAAAGACAGTGGGACAAATTAAAAGTAATGAGGATTGTCCAGCCAGTAGTTTAACAAACCAACACAAGATAAGCAACTGATAGCCTTAAACCTTTAAACTAAGCCTGTAATTTCAGATCAGTTAAGTTTTAACCTCAGAGCGACCTCCAGACAGATCAGATCACATTAACCTGAGCCCCTGGTCACTGCTGCTGGGAAATAAAATCCATTACAATCTTTCAGAAAGATAACTGTCACGGATGCAGAGCACCCAAAACCAGGCTGCCAGTGGGTTAAAAGCAACGACCAGGAGGTGCATCTAAAAATAATGTCCTCAAGTCAGCTCATTTACAAAATTCTGCTTCTTAAGTAAAAAGTTACAAATTGAACTTCCTATGTCATAATTAGACAATGCCGTTTTATTTTGCCAGTTCTTTTTGTTCGCTCTCCAGTATACATGGCCCTCCATATACAGGGGAAGAGGGACGTAATATTTATTTGCTTGTTAGAAATGGCTGTCATGAGCGCTCATGCATCAAACTGTTAGCAGAATACTCATAACACAGCCATATCTGGAATGCCACGCCAATGGTGGGATTCCTGGCATTGATGGGCCATTTCATAAGAGCAAGGGGGGACCTTGGGAAAAAAAACTCTGTGCTGGATAGTTATCTACTGAGAGCATCAGTTCCGTGTACTTAATATAGAGACCTCAGTGTCAACCCGCCACATCTTTTGTCTGAATTCTGGAAATAAGGTGCTTTTTGTATGGTTGCGGCAATCAATCGCTGACCAATTATAATCAGCTAAAATTAAGATCAGCAAACAATGGAAGCAGCGTGTCATCTGTGGAAAATCTGATACAGGTCACACTGTTAAATTTGGCCATCTACATTATAGATTAGTTACCATGTTAAGTCAAGTGAAAACTTTATGAAATCCTGTTTTGGGGATTTAAAAGGTTTCAACACTCCTAATACATGTTTAGATATACAGTCCTTGGTCTAATGCTGTGGTGTATAAGTATATTTACACAGTGCTGTATTGGAGTTTTTTCCATTTAAGATTGATATGCACTGTTACATTACGTAAAAGGTTTTGCAGAAGCTCTGAATAAATAACTTTATCTAAATTTTGGTGACTGGCGAATCACACACTGTGACCAGTACATAATTTTTTGCATCTTTCTCCAGTTCACCTAACCATTATGTTTACAGACTCAACACAAAATACTTCAACAGAAACGGACTGCTCACCTTCCTTTAGAAAACAGTCAATAAGCCATCTGTTATTCACCAGCAGCAAATGGCTGTCATCATTGTTACTGTATGTGTTTTTACAGTTAAATAGTCAAATATCCTTTAAACAGGTTTGTGAGCACAAGTGTAAGTTATCTTGTCTCTGCTAATGACAGTCATAGAAAGTATGGAGACATTGAGGTTGATCCATTTTACAACCACTAACAAAATTAAACAGGCATGAAATAGTGTGGTCACATTTGATGTCTTAGGAAATATTTGTGAATCTTTTGGAGTTTTGTCTTCCCACTATTTTTGACCTGGCTGATGACATACAGTGAGATGTAAAGGTTAAGAAAGCCACAGGGAGACTACTTTTTACGTGATCCACAGACAAAGTCACATACCACAGAATAAAAGCCATCACAGGGTGCCGCCAATATCATTACATCTCTGTTAAGATATTGCACCCATCTCCTTGAAAAGCTTGTAATGCAATAAACCATGTTTTTTTTTATGATCAAGGCAATGTCACCGGTGCCAGCTGACAGGTTGATCCAACAGAAATTGTTTTCCGTTTAGCTAAGCTCTGCCAATTTGACTAGCTGCTAGGCTTGTTAAGATTCACGTTTCCCATTCTCAGATTCCAGGAGTATCCTCATCCTGTAAAAGTCATTTGTTCAGATGGAGCATGAGTTTGCCCTCTTCCTTGGTTTAGGCTCCCCAAAGTCCCTGTCATCTGCCGCACAGTGGCTGAAGGAGCACATCGTCTGCGAGAGCCTACGCATGCCCAGGCGGAACACACTATTAGACAGGCTGTAGATGACACAGTTGCAAAAACTGTTGCTGATGGCCAGCCAGGTGGTGATGAAGGAGAGGGCAGGGCTATCCAGCACATGGGAGCTCTCTAGCAGGAAGTAAATTATGTATGGCAGCCAAAGCATATAGAAAACGCTGGTGATACGGAAGAGCACCATCGCATAGCGCCGATCAGGTCCATGCCCTCCGTGATGTCCATTGCCACCCCCCTCACCAGCTTCCATCTCCTGGCTGGGGAATCGTGCCCGTCGTTCACTGATTTCCCTGTTGTGCTGCTGGCAAATGCGAAAGATATGGTAATAGGTAAAACAGACCACAAGTGCCGCAGGTGCATAGAGCAAACACACCACAAAGCCTGTAAAGAGGGCAGAGGTGGGCCAAGAGTGAGCACACCACTCAAAAATGTCCCCATGATAGCCTGGCTTACCCCACCCAAAGAAGGAGGGCAAGAAAACCAGACTAGAGTAGACCCATATTAGGGTGATGCAGCCTCGTAGCCGGCATGGTGTCACAAGCTGGTTATAAGATAGTGGTTTAGTTATGGCCAGGTAGCGGTCCACACTGATACAAGCCAAGCAGGCCATTGAAACACTCTTCAGAACCGAAATGACATAGCTGAACACCTGGCATGTGATGGGCTCCTGGACACCTGCTGGGTAGTGGAGTAGAGACAGAGTGGGCACTAAGCAGCTAAGACCCACCAGCAGGTCAGCGTAGGCCATGGTCTGGATGAAGTAGCTGGTGGTGTAGTGGTGTAGCAGAGGGGCACAGTGAAACACAAAGATCACCGTCAGGTTCCCGGCAATAATGAGCACAGTCAGAAGTACAATGACAGCAGTCTCCAGGACGCAAGCCTCTAGGCCTTCGTTCAACCCCCAGCCCAAGGGACAAGAATGGTTGGAGGCCCTGCCTGGAAAGAAATCTCCATGGCTGCTGTTGGCAGTGAGCACTGGGTCTGTTGTCAGTTCAGACTGGTTCATTGTTCTGGGTGCTATCCAGGTGGGTCAGGTTGTTTGGTGTGCCACCCATAAGGCAGCTGGTCTGAAACTGGAGAACTGCCTGCCTCCCAGCCGCTCTATACCGGGTGTCTGCAGCCTCCCTCAGTTAATGGAGCTCAATACTCTCTAGCACACTCACTCTCTCTTTCACCTTACTCTCACATAGCTGGGTCTCAATCAAATGAACACTGACTGGAGGAAAATCAATACACCCTCTAGGAGGGTAGGACAACCCGTTTAGCTCTCCTTTTCCAATCACTCATGGTTAGTGAAAGTAGTGGGTGGGTAACAGTCAGGAGTAGAGAAAAAAATGCTGTATTCCTTTAGTAAACCTAACGCAGGGTAGCTTTAGTGCTGTGGCCAGCATCTATCCCATAGGCACATTTCCCTGCTGCCTTGCCTGCGAGTCTGTGGCCTCATCTCCTGATTCTAATGAGGGTTGCCACTGGGAGGCTGAGGGCATAAGCTGTCCTCAACAAGGGCAGAGAGCACAGAAGATGCGAGAGAGGACACCATATGAAGAGGTTACAGCATGAAGTAAAGCACAGTGCTCTTCAGACTTGACTTGATTCTCTCTTGAGAACAAATAAGTAAGCAGCATATGGCTCCAATTTCACACCTAGAGATCAGATTAAATTTAGTGTACAGTTACCTTTCAAAAAACATATTTTAGGTCATCATTGCTTACGGGGGGAAAAAAGCTTCTTAAGAGTCTCTCTTGTGTATACTGAAGTTCGAAAAAGAAAATTACATCCATCTCTGTGAATCAATCCTTCAATTCAATCCAAAAGTGTCACTGTTCAATGGGTGCTAGAGTGTTTACTATATAACAGCAGGCTTCCCTTATTTTGGTGGTCCTCTGGTCAGTGTCTGGAGCCCATGTATGCCCAGCTATTGTCTGAATCAAAACACAGACACAGGCTAGAAAAACATGGGGATCTCCGCAGGAGATAATGTCACAGCTCTCTCAGCACACATGGCGCTGGGGGGAAAATGTGTTTACAAGGCATCCCTAGGCAGAATGAGGTAAAAACCAAGCGCGTCAAATGTCTAGATGAGTTCTGCCAGTAAAGTGATTTAAACTTTAAATCTAAAATTGCAAACTTGCCTCTCAGTGTTCTGGACTGCAAGTCGCAATAGACAAACAAATGTAAAAGTCCAGTAGCTGATGAAAGTGTTGAATGTCAGACTCCCATGCAGGCAGGTGAAAGGACTCTCTCGGAGCAATGAGAGGCCAGCTGAATAACTCAGCGCTCCACTCTATTCGACTCCTCAGCAATCCTGTGGCAGACACTTGCAGAGAGGGGTGTGGGGATCAATCGGCAATCCTTATTTATCCCGTAAACTAATAACTTGCATTTTTGTTGTGACATTCTGAAGCATTGTCAGGGGAGGCTTAGCACCTTCTCCTCAAGTGCTTAATGTAACCATAGATTTTCGAACTTGCCTTAGTCCTTTGAAATATGCACTCTGTTTAGTTGTAGAGGTATGGGGTCCTACAACTCCTCTCCCAGTATGTCTGTCGCCCTTAACTGGCAGCGCAACAAAAGGGGAATCCACTCTAGTAACATAAAGAAAAGACCAAGTCCCAGTCGGAGTGCCAGTTTCAATCACTGTCCTCTGCAAACGTCCCCCTTTTAATTCCGTTAAACAGGACGACCCACGTTTTTAGTAGATAAATCCTTAGATCCTGGCATACAGAAAGAGATGAAGGTAATGCATCTGTCAAAAGCAGCAAGAAAAAGCAAAAAAAAAAGATGACTGCGCTGATGGAAATGAGTTAAATCTGCAGCGAGGGAAGCGAGGGGACGAAGAGTCCCTCAGCCCTGGTGCAGTGAGAAGGAGAGATGCTGTGACTGGCTTACACTTCCCTCCCTCCCTCTCCACACAATCTCTCTAGCTTGCACACTCAATCTCTCTCTCTCCACACACACACACACACACACACACACACACACACACACACACACACACACACACACACACACACACACACACACACACACACACACACACACACACACACACACACACACACACACACACACACACACACACACACAAACCCTCCCTCTTTCTCGCGCTCTCTCCCTCAGCTTCTCGCTCATTGCCCCGCCTCCTCCCATCCCAGCTGCACCTGAGGCTCCCTGCCACATTATTCTGTCTCTCACACTGGCTTTTTCCCAGAGGTAAATTTGGATACATTTCCTATTTACATATTACTTATCTTTCACAGTCTGTTTTCTATTAACTAAAGACCCCCTCTCCCCTCCCACTTCTTCCTCTCAGTTTCCCTTCTCCATACATTAAGCCCCAGTATATTTAAAAAAACCCAGGTCTATTTCATTCATACATAAAAACAATCAATGGCATTGAAAATGTAACATGAACTAAAATTTTACAGCAAAAAACTGACATTTCATGGCATGCTTTTGAGTCATTCGTCATATTATCTCTAATTAGGGGGGGGGGGGGAGAGAAAGACGATGCCTGTTAGTTTAAGTGGTCTTCAGCATAAGCTTGCCATTAGTATATAGCATTCATGCATACAGGATGACACTTAACCTCCATAATCCTACGGAACATCTTGGATGGTTAATCCTAGTAAAATGAGTCCTCTCCTTTATCCCATCAGGCTCTAGGTTCTTCAGGATACTTTATTTATTCTTTATTTAACCAACAGCTTAGCACTGTTATGCCTGCTCCTTAGATACAGTTGCCGGGCAAATTCGGACAGTTGGGAGCATCCTCTGGCCAGCAGATGATAAAGAGGATCAAGTGACAGCGAATTGGCGGAGCAGAAGAGAGAATGGAAACAAACTGTCAAGCATTGTGGCTGGGCAGGAGATTCTGGCAAAAAAGACAATTCAGTGCAACCTAATAAACATTACTGTTTTTTTTTTTTTTTTTTAAACTATAAGAGCCTATGGAGGCAATGAAGAGCGGCTGGCTGCGAGCTGGATGGAAAATGGCTACTTGGGAAAACAACACTGCACCTGGCCTTTTCCAGGAAGTCTAGAGTCCTTTGATTATTTGGAAAAAGTTAATCAAAGGAGCAGTTTTAAAGGAGTAAACATGACAAGGACTAAACCAATCACATGGGAGGTGGGGTTTAACATTATGAGTCAACGAGGGAGCACTATTGCTTTAAAGCTGATATAACACACTGCACTCCTTAGTAGACAAATATGCGTATCTTGTCAGCCTACAAAGTATACTTTCAGCAGATGGACAAAAGAAAACATTATATCATTCACCTATTTTTGTCTAATTTGACAAACATAAATTTTTGGTCAAATCCACACAGAAAGTCACATTTCAAACCCGCAGACCAAAATCAAATGTGTTAGGTGAACATCAGCAAGGGAATATGCCTTTAAGAGGAAGAGCCATTCACAGACAACGGCTGAACCTAGACCTGATTAAGTGTCCTTGAGGAAGATGTAATACAATGTAAGAATATTATACAGGAAAAGGTGGCATGCAGCCAATCCAATTCTCTGACACACCACCTGTTTATGACAGAGCATTCAAGCCACTGAAAATGCCTTACACAGACTTTAAATATCGAGGCTGTAGCTGCTGGAATTTAGTTGCGTCTTGGTGTAATTACTTCATTATTTAACAAACAATGTCCTTTACTATGTGTATCTGCAGGTAACCTTAAAAATTTAACTAAACTTTAGATTTCTGTTGCTTGTCAACAATAATATATTAATTTATGTCAATAAACACTAGTCTAATTACATTTTGTGAAATACTAGGAACCTTACTTTTTGTCTCTTATTTAATAATAATGTTTAAATTATCATTTCTGTGTCTGTGTCAAGTTGTAGAATAATAAGCTCTGCCTCACATTACTGCACTTGTAAACAAGCTTACTACAAAGCACAACACACAATACAACATGTGAGTTATATCACCATAATGTAGTGTGACCTAAAGGTTTTAACGTGAGGTAGTGAAAATGTACAACCCAGACAGCATGAAACGTATAACACAACAATACTTGGTCAGTTTTTACAGGCGTTAACATGGAGACCAAATACTCTTAACCACCTGTTTTAGTTAATCTGGTCATTCAAGAGACACAGTGTGATGGAAAAACACAGAAGGGGGGGTCCAGAAAGAGAGGAAAACTAAAAATAAAGAGACAAAGCGAAGACTAAAAAAAGTTCATGCAGACAGTTCTGACGTCACTATGGAAGGAACCAGTCAATGGAGCTCTCTTCGTACAGTGCTCTTTACCTTTGGAGGTGGACACTGATGAAAAACACGACCAGAAGGCCACCGTTAATAATTCATTCTGCTCCAAAACAAAGCCAGCAGGGCCACTAGGAAACAAAGGTGGAGGCTGATTCACCTTTCACTGCTTCCCAGCATCCCACCCTCCTCCACTCCTGTGCTCCTGCTGATTCCAGTCTCAACAGCAATGTGTTAGCATAAGTAGGGAGTTTACAGCTTTATTAAAAGGCATTTAGCTGGGCGTCCGGTTAGCTCAGTCGGTAGAGCAGGCGACCCATATACTACAGCGAGCCGGGTTCAAATCCAACCTGCAGCACTTTGCTGCGTGCCATCCCCTCTCTCTACCCACCTTTCCTGTCTGTCTTCAGCTGTCTCTGAAATAAAGGCATAAAGGCCAAAAAAATAATAACTTTAAAAGGCGTTTAGCTGATGGGCAGAAATGTACAGTTACAGTAAGCAAGGAGGTAGTGGGTTCACCATCTTGTTCAAGGACATTTTATCAGGACAGGGTGAGTAGGTAACTAAGTGAGTAAAGTTGATATCTGCAGCACCTTTCTAGAGCAAGCATGACATATTACAAACTTCACAGTCAAAAATTATACAAAAACAGCAATCTAAGGCCTTCCTGTACCAAGTCCACATTGCTGACCTAATGTCTAAAGAACAAAAAAACTCTGTCTTAAATGATGACCAAGGGAGAGCCAGTAAGCCCAGTGAGATGACATTAAAAGGGTCTTCTGTCTGTACAAAATCTGCAAAGGTTCCTGCATTGAAACATACAGAGAAGCAGGTTACAAAAAGTAGAGGGTTAAAGAGAAATGTTCTGCTGCATAGATGTTGACAACAGATGACTGCAGTAATTATGTTAATATGTGGAATAATGCACAAGTGAAGCAGATAGTTTCCCTCCAGTCAGAGATATCATGAGTTCTTGTTCAATGATCCAAATGACCAGTGGATGTGTATTGTCACATCAATGGTAATTTTTATGCAACTGCTTGTGGGATGTTTGCCAAATTGTGTCTGAAGTCACTCCAGTATCATTAGATTAGTGACTCATTCAATTGTATCAAAGTATTTTGAAGGTGTTTCTAATTTACTGTTCTTTGTATAAATGAGGTGCTTCAACTTCAGCTGGCTGACTGGTTTACAATATGATGTTTTTGAGGTTGGTTATCAAAGAATTTTATTTGGCTGAAGGGTAAAATGTAAATGTAGTTGCTTCTATGCTGTAGCTCCGATCACTGACAACCCTCTTGTTCAAGAGTCTGGGGGTTGGGATACAGAGGGATAGGTGGTTAGTGGGGCAGATTAGAGCTGGTTCACTGCCTGGATACAAACATTCGGCGAGCACTATCAACAGACCAACACTAAACCAGCTTAGCAGGCAGAAGGCAGCATTTATATTTATCAACAGTGGACTAAGCTTTGTCTGGATTCAGTTACCAGGTTGAAGGCACTCAAGAAGTAGATTCTGAAGCACTGAGAACATTTGTAGTCATTGCCTTTAGTGCAGCATGGCTTTCTTGCCGGTCATAAAAACTGCACTGGAAATTGAGATGTAATACATTGACACTATTTGCCAAAATGAAATCTTGGTTTCCATGTGGATACAGTGACAATCAGAGCACTCAATTCAGGGAAAACCAGACTGTCATCCTCACATCTGTATAGTACACTGCGCACACCTTACTGCTATCACTGTATGTTAAACTTTTGCAGTCACCTCTCTTGACTTGTAAGCCAGCTATAAATTTGTAGCAAGTTATGATTATTGTTTTAGTAAGTAATGCTTATGAGGGCACATTCTATTACTGGTTAATATAACAGAGAAAATGTATGAAGCAGGCACAGTGGGAAGGGGAAAATGTCAAATATAAAGATAGGAGCTAGCTCACAGCATGTGGACAACAAAGTAGCAGCTATTATTATCACATTTCATATGACAACAACTTATGTTCAACACTCATAACAGAAAAAAATATCTCTACCATATTCACCTCCAGCACAACGTCAGCATGCAGTTGAATGGTAAAGAGGAGCTAAAGGTCAAAGAAAGGCTGCCTACTGAAATCACCATCTATCATCTTCATTTAATCTCACACCACATGGCAGTGAAGACCTGTCTGACCGCTCAGGTTGAGATATTTATATTCATTATTCTGTAACTCCTATTGTCCTTGCACCATGTAGGTCAGATTGTAATGTGCATCTCTTCTGTCATCTGTAAAGGCCTAATGTAGACAAAAAGTCTTTGTACCTTTACTTGAAATTGATTTTTTTGTCAAAGAAAAATAAATAATTATTTGTTGAATAAATGTCATTGTATAACATGCAGGTCAAGAATGCATTTTGCATTTTCATTTTCAACACCGCTGACAAAGAGGCAATACTACTACTGTATGTTCAGGAGGCTCTTATTATATTTGTATTTCCATTTTTATTTTTTACTTTTTTCTATATTCATACACCTATACATTAATTTATATTCTATATATTGTGTTATATATATTGCATATAAGTACTATTCTTTAACGTTGTGTGAGTGGAACAACTGTAGCGAACAAATTCCCCCCAGGGATCAATAAAGTATTTCTAATTCTGAATCTGTATGTAGTACTGTGTTGTTGAGCAGATTCTTGTACATTTATTAAATTAGAAGATACAAGCTGGTGCCACTCTGCACTGAGGAAGAAGAAGAAGAAGCAGACCACTACTCTAGCTGTGAGGCTACAGTTGGTACGAGGACTGAGACATGGAAGTGTTGTGACCAGAGAAGACGCTGTAGGCTGGATCTCCTTAATCCGAGCTGTCATATCAGTGTCAGCCTGGCTAGGGGGCTA